ATTTTCCTTGTGGATCAATAAAGTTTGTTTAAGTCTAAAAATGGTTTGTAATGGGTTTCTATATCTATGCCACTGCGAGATAGGACCAGTACAATACTGGACTGGTCAATGCATAAATATTTGAATAGATGCCAAATCTACCTCTTATAATGAAATTAAATTCAAGTGGCGTAAAAACCTATAACCCTGGCAAAATGTCAATAGAACTGCAGGAGGGGGCCACAATTTTTAATCCAAATCAAATTATTGGGCTTTTTAGTGTCTCACACAAGTCAAGATCATTTATCAGCCCCCTCGCTGTGTGCAGAGCAGCTATTGAAAACACACTATCCCCGCCCCATTCTACATTTAAGTGCTTGCTTATATAGTCCGACCACACAAGAGCTGCAAACAATGGAAATTACTGGTGGAGGTCATCTATTAAAAAAAAAAAAAAAAAAAACTATACAATTTACTAAATAGTCAAAATACATGAATCTAAAATGTATGCAATGTTGTCTCATAATTGCTTTTTGGCTTCCAGCCAGACTTCAGTGTAACTACTAAATTGCCATTACTACATGGAAAAAAAGATACAATCACTAAAATGTGTGGGCGCCCATTGGGGTTTATTGTGTGTTAAGTGATGTCGAACAGGCCAACCCTACTCCAAAGAACTTCATAATATGGGGCTTTCATATCCTTGGTGGACAATTTCAAGCTATGTTGACACTGGCAGAACAAAATATCACCAAATATCAGCTGTTGAATTAGGAACAGCCTGTTTTGTTAGCTGAGACTGCATTGTGTGGTCCTGGCTGAGAAATGCAAACACTTTCTCACAACATTAGCAGTATAATGTATTGATTAGTTGCAGCTGAATAAAGCAGCAATTTAGTGTTGCCAAGCGACCGCTAAATTATGCAAAGCTATCTCTGAGCTATGGCTACGTCAGCTGGATGTTAGCCTGTGGACAGTGGAAAACAATGTCCATTTAAGAAGGTAAATTATAATTTTTTTTAAAGATAATCAAATGAGAAAAGATAACTAGCCACACTAATATTCCTCCAAATGTTCATACCCCTGGTAAAAAAATATATATTTTTTGCCTGTAGATATACCTAATGGAAAAAGCAATAAGTGCAATTTATCATGCTTAGTTCATATTTCAAAATAGCTAGAGTGGGTTATTGGTCAAAGCAGTCACCATGTCTACACAACTACAAAAATAATTGTTTCCATCTGGACATGCTAGTAAAACTTCAGTTTAGTTTTCATGTTAGGCTGTGAATACTACAGTCCAACAGCCAGTGTGCATACTTACATGGTAAAAGGGATACAAAAATGTATGAATCAACTTGACCAACGTGAAAAACTGTTATCATTGAAAATGCACTTAAGTAGAAAGGTAGAGAATACAAAGAACTGTAGCAGCTTAGAATTTTTTTTTCTTTTTTTTTTTTTTAAAGGGGACACAACTTTGATAGAAGGAAAAGAAGTCAAAGAAAAACTGACCAATTATCTGTAAAACGTCACTCAACGTGGCATCTATAATCTAACTGTTCCCGTCTGGAGGAACTGGTGAAAATGTGTATGGTGGTTCCTGGTATGCTTTGAGGCAGCTGTCCCTCTGCCCACAGGCCTCATTAATCATAACGTATTGTATTGAAGTGGGGCCTTAGCGAGGGTAACATACACATGGAGGAACCAACCAGATCTGACCAGGGTGGAAAAAACCCTGGAGGAGCCTCTGGAACTTAATTGCAGTCAAAAGGGTGGAAGAACCATAAATACCAGATCTCCAAAGACTTTTTATTATTTTAAAGCCCTTCCAAAAGAGCGGGACTTTGATAATAAAGCGGTGTGTTCCAATTTGGAGGTGACTGATGGTAGGTATATAGTGTATGTTTGTATGTGTTTAAAGTTACCACTGAGGGCAAGGATTTCTGTCTCCCTCTTTCAGTGCCACAAATTAAATATGGGCATGTTGCCAAAGGGGCACGCTTTCTCCTTCTCCGATACAAAAGTGGGCAGCGGTGACAACTCAGTGGGAATGCATCAACAATTAATATGAGGTGAGATACAGGCCATAACCCTGGAATTTCAGTTGTTTAAAAATTGTGAAAAGGGTGTAAGACAGACTGTGCGGCTACGCAAGCAGTGGTTTTGGGATGCAAATGTACTTACTTGTTTGAACGACTCATCATAGCCCCATTCAGAGAAGCCATTGGGGGATGTGAAGGACTGTTGGCCGGCTGGAGACAGCGCCTCCTTGTCTTCTTCTTTTATGGCAGAAGGAGGAGAGCTGGACATTTGGCCCCCAGTGGAGGCCTGAGAGGTGGGAAAGGGAGGGTAGGTGTAACCTGGCAGTGGCTGCAGCCTGGGTTTCTTGGAGTCTGGGCTGATCTCCTCTTCTTCTTCATCTTCATCACCATCATCCTCCCCATCGTCATGGTCTCCAGGACCTTGAAGGCCATGTCCCATCATACCCTCTCCTGGCAGACCTGGCTCCTCCTCCTCTGAGTCTTCATCCTCCTCATCCTCATCTCTCTCCATGTCTGGTGCTCTCATGCTGTTCATATGTTGAGTGTGAAACATCTGTGCGCCTTTACTGAATAATGCAGGATCCATTCTGGCAGCGTTGGCACGGGCAGTAGCCGCTGCAGCTGCGTGTTGAGCGAACAGGAACTGGAGCTGCCTCTCCTGCAGGCTGCCCTCCAGTTTGGCCCCTTGTTGTCTCTGCAGATGCTCCATCACAGCCTCTAGTTTGAGCCCAGCAGGACTGCCCTGCTCTGAGAGGCTTGACTGAGGAGAAAGAGAAAAAGTTATAGATCTAAATGAGAATGGGGATCAAATTTCCATTTTCTGAGCTGTTTTATCGCAAGAACCCCACTGAAATAAGAGTTAGGTTACACTTCTATCAGAGTTCTTTATCAAAGTTTTTAATCTTTGGCCTAAAGCTATGGTTCAGGATTACTGCCTCAATTTAAAAAGTGGGCCCACACCAGTGATGACTTAAAATCTAAAATAATATTACAAATAAGACTATATAGAAATATTTTGAGTGCAGTCAAGTGAAAATTGGATTTACCAATTTTTTATTACAACCACACATTTTAATTGCCAATTATTATTATTATTATTTTTTTTTTTTTGGGCTATGCTACGTCTTCAGTCCTCAATAATTGGAGAAAATGCAAACAGTTGATTAGAAGCAATATAATAAAAAACAAAAAACAGCAACTTGAAAAATGTTCTAACTAAACCATGCAAAACACAAGTCTTAGATAATGTCTAAACGCTTGCGCGCAAGTGGACGTTTATCTCGAGTCGCTTTGTTACTGTAATAACCACGAGTGCAGCCCAAGGGTCGTCGACACTCACCATTTGCGCCTTTGAGAAATCCATCATCGCCAACAGGTCGTATCTAGTGTTTCCTTCTTTCCGTCCGCGAAAACAAATCGCATCTCATGTCCAGGTTTTATGAAGAAAGCGCTTGTTCGACTCAAATGTGATTTAAAACGTTTCTTCTGTGCTGAGGTCGGAGAGACCGAGGATCGAGGAGGAGGGGTAATAATGCCTTGGCTTTACCTCCCTAGTCACTGCGCATGGAAACTCAAACATGTTTGATTGTCTTTTACTGAGTGGCCTACACCCCCAACTTGGATGAATGAAAGGCCCGCCCCGTGCGTAAAGCTCGTAAAGTGGGTTTCCTTGCCTCCATCTCCAGGGAGCTACCCACCCTTCACACGGAAATACCACCCCAAGCACAAAACACCGCAGCTTCTTTTTACATCTGTAAGACTATGAGACCAACAGACCTCATTTTAACATTTAATAAACACGCATCAAAATTAATTCATATGACAAACAGCCCAACGCGTCTCATCCCAGACTTTAGGCTTGGGCGTAAAGTCTGATGCCTGTTTCATGTCTTACCCTTAAGGATTTTTAATGTATTCTAATGACACTCCATCTGACGCACAAATTTTGCGCCAAATTAGAACACGAACTGTTTAGGTTTTGCAGCAAAAGTTTAAAATATTTTTTAACTAGGCCTAGTAATTACCAGACATACATTGCATTGCAGATTGTCTAGTTTATAGCAATTCATTTATGGCCATGCACAGGCTGCAAAATGTTTAATAGGCCTATATTTTAACATAAATCAAAGTGTCCTTTATGGCAGCAACTTTTTTACTAAAGTATTTATTGGGTACAAAAAATATAACTTTTTTTACGTGGAAAATGCCTTTATGGCACTTTATGTGTGTGTGCTAGGGACAGATCAGTATCTTTTGAAATAATAGGTAAATTAACAATGGCTTTCTATTAGATTATGGATTTGTTACGGACAAAAAAATTAGCCTACAAGGTTAGCCTACAGACTATATATGCAACAAGCTTACACGTTTAAATATAAGAAAAACAAAAACAAAAATTGGGATTTAACTGACTCTCATTTCAGTGTTCTCCTGTAGACCTGCCTGTTAACAGACCATTAAATATATCCAAGTGAATCTTATTTCAAATCACAACTTTGAAACGGGGTTTTGAAAAAGGTCTATAGCAGTTGTTCTTTGTTTCCGTCAAATGATATGTAGTCCTGTGGCCGATTCTAATGTCAAGGGGTGTGAGTAAAATGTAAAATACAGTATTCAAATGCTTAATCCCTTTGTTCCTGGTGGTTTCCAGGTAAATAGTTGGTGGCGCTACAGCTCATCTAGAACATAATCCTTTGCATTAATTTAGTTCCATGCAACAGGCTAGTGTTATATGCGGATTTTAGAGTACTATATTTAAACGCGTTCATGCAAGACCACAGAATCAATTATTACAAACTTAAATAAGCCATGTTTTGAACATCATTCACCCTACACGACAAATGCAAACACATTTTCAGATATGCTTTGGGTAAGGATTAAAATAGTTTGCTTAATAATGTCTCTAATGCGTAGTATAAAATGGCATGCCTGCGCAAATAGCCTTAAGTACACAGTTGAGCTTCTGCAAAATAATCTTAATCTTTTGGCTTGAATCAAAGGAATCTGCAAATTCAAATAGTCCTACTTGATAACCAATGTTCACTAAACACAAATATACCATTAGAAATTTTTTATTTACCAACATATCAATGTCCCTGAAACATATTGTCATAAACAGAAAAGAATGAATACAGTAAATGTACAGTAATGTGTACACTCATGTGGAAATGCTGCTCCCTAGTGGTGATTTGTGACTCGTACACCAAGACACGCAGAAATAATGCAACCGTAATGTGTAAACTGCTGTTGGTCAGTGTTCATTCAACCAGATAATTACAACCTTTTTCTACAAAAGTACTCTTCCAATTTAAAATATTTCAAAATACTTGTGACACTCAAAAGATACATATCCTTTATTATGTCCATCAATATTTTACAAGCATAAAGAACTTAATAAAGGCCAATTAAATATCACACAGTATTATTTAATGAGGCAAACATTTAAAGTACAAGGGGTATCGTCTGTGGGAGGTCCATGAGGTTCAGACCTGGAAAATATACAAACTAGTCAATTTAACATAAGTGAATATCAATAGCATTTTATACAATTTAGTTTTAAATGAATACAACAATCATGTTTCTTCAACTAATTTCACAACATCACATTTATTTATTTCCTTGATAATGATTCTATGTAAATACCGTTTGCCCTACAACTATTTATTTTGTAATTTTATTATATTACTTTATTAATTTATTAATTACCTTTGTTTACAATAGTTTATCCTTCTGTCCCTTACCATTCATCTAGATTTTATCAATTCCAAGTTCTTCAGGTGTGGAAATGCCGAGCTCCTCTAATGTTGGCCGCAGTTCTTGAATAACGTATGGGTAGATGTCTTTGTGAGGCCCTGCCTTATCCTGCAGAGACAAATAGCAAATATCCATCAATCATTTACCTCCTACAGTACGGGCAAACGCACAATCTCACATCATAAAATTACAATTTTCAAAAAGGTTGTCAATGTTCTCACCTTCACAGCTTCCAAAATTCGGATAGCGCTGGCCAAGTCGTTTAACCTCCGACAGGCTCTTAGTGCTGCGTCAAGAATCTTTGGCTCAGGTACCAAGTCGTAACCGATCAATGTGTTCATCCCTATAGCCAAATACATAACAAATTTAGGCCTACATAATATAAAAGACTGTACATGTTCAGAAAGGTATGACTTTGATAACAATGGATTGTCCTTACTAAAATATACAGTAAGAATGATCTAACACTGCCCCCACCCATATCACTCTGAAGCCAAAAATAAATGCTACAACAAGACCTACTGCACGAACACATCACATGAGTAACTTGGGCTTACTGGGAGAGATCATTTTAAAAATATACATGGTTTATCCAGGGTGAAAATAAATTAGCTTTTAGAAGGCATTTTTGTTGAAAAGTAGTTGTAATGTAATGTTGCAAATTAAAAACAATTGTGTACATTCATAATGGCATCTTGTTAGTTACCACTGTGCATCGTTAATTACAAAGTTATTCAGTACCTCCGATCATTTGATAGCTTGTTTTTCATTGCTATGCACTAAGTCAAGGTCAAGACTGCAAAATGTTTTAGCAAGAACAGCAGTGTTAAGAAACCTTAGTCATCGCTATCTAACCTTTCCTTAGTTCCCATGCATCAATGTCTGGCTTGTTGAAGTAGGTAACCCAGCGAGCATCAAACTCCTCATCTGTTTCCACCTTTCCATGCGAGTACAACCGTGATGCCAAAACAGCTGCAGGAAGATAAAAGGTTACAATTACACATTTGAGGATTAGATACAACTGTATATTTTAAATAAGATGTATGATACGTATATCCACTTTCTGTAAAAATGCATATGGGTGTAACTAATACAAACACCTCAGTGCTCACCCAAAAATGATGTATCAATGCCAGTTTCCTTCTCTATCATGAGTCACTCTTTTCTGTCTGACCGGTACATTATTGAGCAAACCAGTAAGTGTAAGGCAATGCGGATACTGTAATTATGTAGGCAGAATTATGGCTTTCCGACATGACCAAATTTGGACTTTTAATACCTGCCATCTCCTTGAAAGGTGACTTTACAAAGCAATGGTTACAATGTAGTGTAACAATATAATTAATTCATCATCTGACGGCAGTGTTCATCTTTGAATTTAATCAATTACTAATAATCCTAGTGTCAGAATGTCAGTTAAATCTGAATAATCCGGTCAATAACATAACATAGTGGTCACGTTAGCATGTAGCATCAGCTGCACAGTGTACAGGGCCCGTCTCTATCTGGGTCACGGCAAGGACACCGCATGCATTAAGCTCAACATTTAGAGCAAGCAAAGGCTGGATATCATTGTAAATGTTCGGCCCGCTTTTTACTTACCCAAAGTAACATTACAAGCAACTGGTTGTGGTTCATCTTGTATGGTGGAGAGAATATCAACTGGATGTCATGTGTTAGCTAACCAGTTAGCTTAGCATTGTGCAACCGCAATGTGTCACACTGAAATTCCAATTTTGACGGTAACGAATATCTTATTTTATACCGGAACCGGGTAATACTTTGAACACGATATTGTAAACATACCTTGGCACCGTGGTTGCGTACGCGCTAAACTCCGGACTCCGGAGACTGAGAGTCGAACAGCGGCTCTGAACATGTTTGAGACTCTGCGGCTCCGCGACCGGCGAGATCTGTGCAGGAAGCTCGCGCTCACGGTGAGCCGAGCGTCACGTACGTCCCTTCCCTGCGCATGCGCAGCAAAACCACATGGGCTTTTTTTGTAGTTTGTTGTTGTGACATACTGACTTTGACATTGACCCTATTTGACATATATAAAGAACTTAAAATTAAAGCATTCACAAGCACATACCTTATTTTAAAGGTCTTATATTATACAAAATTGACTCTTTTCAGCTTTAAGCCATGTTAAGAATGTTGCTGCCTCCTCAAAAACATACCTGAAATTGTGTTTCGTTTTATCCATACATGTAGTAAGAATGAGTAATCCTTTATTAGTCTGTCTACATCTCCAAAGCTCAAAATGCTGTGTTCCACCTTGTGATGTCATGAAGCTGTAGTTTTCAAACTTTTACCTGTAGAGATTGGCAATTCCAGTGCTGAAATCAACCAAATTATTCTAATGAAGGTGTATGGAGTTTAACACAATGGAGCACTTCCTGTATTACCACATTGCATCAAAAGGTGAAACAGTGTTTTCTGTTTGAGCCTAAATATGCATGGTTAGTGTGAAACAAAACACATCAGGTATGTTTGTGATGAGTAAACAACCTTATCAAAATAGTCAGAAAATATAACAAATATAATAGTGTGTTAACAAAACATGAAATGATGAAGCTCAGTAATTAAATCTTAAATTACTTATTTTGGATTGGATCTCTTTTTCGTGGGTTGTTCTTATTTAATCTTATGTTTATGACAAACTCACAAAGTGGCATATATATATATATATATATATATATATATATATTTTTTTTTTTAATTATATTTTTTTTTATTTATTTATAATTATTATAATAGAGCACCTTGTTGCAGCACTTTACTTTTGGTTAACATAATACAAAAACATTCAAAACACTGTATAAAATATTCTAAACAAAAAGTAAAGACTAAAAATATGCATCAGCTGTGGCCAAAGTAAATTACATTTTATTTTTCTCAAAAGGGGCCTTTACTGATTGCTTGTAAAATTTCATTGTGGATCTCATCGTCCTGAGTGTTGATGTGGACATCTCCCACTTGGCCATTCTCATATCTATGGAAAGTCAAAGCATAAACATCAGCTGATGTTTTAAAATGGTCTTGACTTTCACTACTTACACAAAGAGGAATCTAGTGCAAACATGGTCCGGTACAGGACAAACCCAGATGTTCCCATGCTGCTGAAGCTCTTTAGACAAAATCACTGTAAAATAAAAATAAATACATAAAACATTCACCAGCTGTATATCTTAAATCTAATACTCTCTTTTGTACTATCTTTTGTTTACCTTCACAAAGTGCAACGCAGTTTATAGTTTTACTTTTGAGAAATCTGGCTTGTGCAGGCTCTTCCTAAAAACCAAGACAAAAAGGGAAGCATTAAAACATAATGTAGTATAGTACAAATAGCTAATCACTTTTGTTAAGTAAGTACCGTTAGTCTGTTGATTCTATTGTATTTGTTTTTAAGTTCCTCTTTACTGAGCAGATCATGTTGACCGTAACCCATTTCTAAATATCATAAAACATTCATTGGTATATTATTGTAATACATATACATCACGTTATAATTTTATAAAAAAATAAGCTTCAGTCTTACCTGAATAACCAAAGGAGATCCCAGAGTTAGGACTCAGATAGATGCCTTTTCCATAGGCTGCACCATGAAGCTTGGATGTAAAAACAAAAACATGAAGTACATTTAATTCATAAACACCTATTTTATTCTAATAACTTAATGTACCTGTAATTTAGTGAAAGAGGCATTGATCAAACCATTTCTCAAAATAGAGTGCCAATTTTCAATATGAGAACCACTTTGGATGAAACATTAACAAATATTATAATTATAAATAACAAGACAGAGAGAAAGTGTGGAATGTATACTGGGCTGGCTATAATTTCATACTTTTGAACTCAAACTTACTGGAAAGCAAAGGTGCTACCATAAAGCTTTCTAGCCATTTGAAAGCGTACTTCTTTGTATGGAGGACTACAGATGAGTAGAAACTGGTGAGGTGTGTGCATGAACTTTAGCTGCTATAAAAGAAAAAAAAAACAAAGCTATAGATCACATACAGTTAAGTATATAAAACATTCAATAAAACTAATACACTATGACACAATGCTCTATCGTATCTACAATTTCTAACCACTAGTCCGTGCAATACTGAAATACCCTGTTTAGTGGAAGCTTGATAATGTGTGATCTGTTGCTTGCTAAAATCCTGTCAAACATTTGCACTCAATGTTAGAGACATGCGCAGGCATTATTAATAAAAATAAACATGATGAGCATTTCCGGTTACCATTGTAATAAGGGATGAGCTAAAGGGTCCATCTCATCCATCTGCTTTTTAAGGTCACAATATGGGCCCTACAAATTGGAAAATGTCAGAAAGTCCTTTAAAATAGCAGCATAATTTTGAATTTTAAGGTTAGGCCTATGGAAAATTCACCTGTGAAAGCTGCCTCACCAGCAAGACGTTGTCCAAGGCTGCTTGCAGCCTGTCATAGCTCTTTCTCTAGAAAAATAGAAATCATTGAATTAAACACCTTCATTGTCATTGTACAAACATCGTACATTTACAGCAGTTCTCAGATAATATACATTTTACTGTATTGGATCAGTATTGAATTTTTTGTCCTACAGCACATCCCAGTGGGAAATAGTGCAAACAGCAAGTGAGCTGTATGGGATGAGCTCTGAATTGGCTCTGCAAAAGCATCTTGTCTTAAAGATGTCTGTGAGAGCATGGTTTATTAACAGTCCCCTGAGCAGACATATATACTTTTCAGATGCAATTAAATTTCTGAATATCACCAGTATTCCATTACATGGAGCCCATATGGAAGGAGTATCATCGGCCAATTTTAGTAGTCTGCATGCAAAAGTCATATGCAAAAACAAAATGAGGCTGGTAAGTTATGTTGTGGTGTGGTACTGACCTTAGGGGTGAAAGCAAGGGTTTTAGGGTTGCAAGGATCAACTATAGATGGATAAGGCTCAAATATAATGCTTTTACGTTTGGACTGGAGAGCAGCTCTGCACATGGCCACCAGCAGGTCAATTACCTGAATGAGTGTGAGAATTAAAAATGTAGAAATTATTGCATGTTTTTTTTTTCTGAGGGAGGGAGTAGATTTGTCTAAGTTAAATTCCGATTCAAGAAATTTAATCATACTTAAAAATGTGTACTTGGCATACCTCTGCACCAGTGGCAACCTCTTCAGTAACTTCTGACATAACTCCAAGAGTATAAAAGGAAAATACACATAGTTCCCTTGTGCAAACGGCAGGCTTTACACATAATTACAATATAGAAATAGATGTATAAGATGCTTTGTAATTAATTATATATATATTGCATAGTCAGTTTAGTTACCTTTAACAGTGGACCATTCTGAAACACATGCCTCTCATCACAAATGACACAGTATTCATTTAGTGTTAGAAGCCTCTGCTCTGCATACTTCATTATCTGTGTGTACAAAACAAAATAACTGTTGCTGAGACAAAAGACAAAATAATATAATTTCAAGAGAATAATAACACTGTATTCTCAAGATGGCATCTGTGGGTTGGACATGCAAAACTGGATATATTGGTATGACTACTGTATTTTAATAATCTGATCATATATTTATAGTCACACCTGAACCTGTTTTTAATGCTTAAAATGGACCTATGCAGTTATTTGTTTTATTTGTATTGTCAGTATTTTGTATTTGTTTGTTTTGTTTGTACTGACAGGCCCCTCATAAAAAGGCACTCTCATTGGGCTTTCCCTGTATAAATTAAGATAAATCAATGACTGAAAATGATACCGTATAAGGAAGCAAGTGAACAAATGAGGTACAAAGCGAATGTAGGGATTAGAGCAAGTTTGACATATGATCCATTATAATGATGTCAAAGGTAAAGCACACAATTAAATGGTTAAATTTGAATGGTTATGTTTAATGCGGTTAGCTACAACTATTCAGATAAAATATAACTATGTATTAAATCCCCCAACCATGTACTTTAGCCCTTCTCACTGCTTGTCAGAAAAGTCACAATTAGATATTCTTCCAAAATTGTTCAGGTCTAGTCAAAAGCCAGCTGTGAACCGAGGAGTGGTGATGCACATGGGAAGACTGGCCTGTGTGTTAGAAAAAACACACTGTAGCTAATTTCATGATATTGTTGATGTTTATTAAGTGTGGTCAAACTATTTTGGTGGACTGTTTCGATTTACCCATTTGAAATGCAGTATATCTACAATACTAAAGACATGTATCCAAATGGTGATCTTACCTGGACTAAGAATCCATGCTGCAGAGTTGGGGCAGTCTTACAGTGTCTAATGGCCTGAGTGGAGAAGAGGAGCTCTATCAGCTGTTTGGTGCTGAGCTGTGTTGAGGACTTTACCGCTGATACTGTCACTCTCTGGAGGGGAGATCATGCGTATTAACAGTCAAAAAAATCATAATTAATTTGTGAAAATAACTGAACCCACTTTTCCACTTGGTGTGTAGGCGAAAAGCTCTCCAGTTGCGTTTTTAATGGCATATGATGTAGTTGTGTTCGAAAAGCGATTCAAATTCACAGTTGGCAAAATAATCCTACTTCTTCCACTGGATTCCAGTGGATCATTAGACCTAAACATAGTTACATCTGAGTTATGTAGAGCTACATACAGGCTTGGACTGTATATGTTTAAAGCCCAACGAGAGCCGGGCTTATCGAAATAGCATAACAGTTTTAGAATGAGATCATGAAGCGTATTGTTCCTAGTGAAATAAGTTCGCTATGTACAATGTATATATATATATATATCTATATATGTATATATGATGATGTACTTAGATGATGGCAGCCAAATGTTAAGCCTTGCTCTGAATTTCTTGATGGTCCCGGCTGGCCTGAACCAGCTGTGTCTCCTCTTTTGATGGCATATGACCTTCTCATTGGTAAGGTTCCTCCACTCATTATTAATGAACGCTGTCAAAATACTGAAAGACAAGAACATCTTTATTAGGCAATGTTCACTTCAATGTTTACTTCATTAGCTTTTAAGAGTTGGGCAATATTAAAAGATTGTTCATTCAAAAAGGGTAACTTATATACATGAATTAACATACTTTTGTAGTTGCTTTCCAATACAAAAACTATATTTGTTTGATGGCTGAAACACTTCAACTGTTGGTGCTGTAAGAGGACAGACCCTTTAGTCAAGTTTGATAGAAATACACAAAATTGGATTTTGAAAGTAAAAGAAACTTACCAGGACCATCTAGATAATGTGACAAGGAAAAGTGAAGGCGAATTATTATAGGCTCAGATGAGTTTATTTTCCAAGCTTTTGTAACAGGAGCCTGTAAAAATAAATTACTTTCAAATAAACAGTGAAGTTTTTTATACACAACAGCAGGATTGAAAACCCAAACTGATGCTGACCCTTTATTTAAAAAAGACAATAAGGGGAAGGATGGCAACATCTTAAACCATATCTAACAACGGCACTTACATTTAAAAAGTCAGATTTGATGATGAGATCAATATCCACTTCATCAATTGTCATGTATTCTCTAAAAATAAAAAGGAAGAAAAAAATCAAACCAATACATTTTTAAATAAAATATAATATCTTGGAAAATTTTTAAATTAAGATATTATATCATTTATATATATATATATATATATATACACACACACACACACACACACACACACAGACTGCAATTTGATATTTTGTTCATTGTAAATCTGCAATATTGATTTAAAATGGTTTGGTTATTGAAATGGACATTTTCACTATAACGACATTTAAATTTATTGTTGTTTTTACTGTTGAAAGTAACTATGTTGCATTTTGAACCTTGTGTCTATGACCCAAAGTCTGTTTTTTTTTTTAAATAACCACAAGTACAGATCAGTAGGTGGAGTTAGGGGGTAGGAAAAAACATTAATTAAGCCTCATGCAGGGCATTGACTCAAACACACATGAATCAACTGAAAGAAAACTTTGAGTATGTTAAAGGTGCATTGTGCAACTTTTCTCGTGGAGGGTTTGTCAAATGCTTTTCTCCATAGAGATAATATAGTTTTGTCTGGAATGTTTCACAGTATGGCATTAAACCTTTCTATTTTTATGGAGACCAAATCAGTCTAAGTTACAGGTCAGATCTGTGGAGAGGCAATTCCACTCACAATCAGAATAACTGTTTTTCTAGGTATTTTTGACGCTGGGAACAACCAGCTGTAATTTAATAAATGCAAAGTGGAGCATTTCAATCAGAGCAATAACATATCCTTAGAAACAAGCAAGTGACGGACCTTCCACCAGAAAAGTTAAACAATGCACCTTTAATTAAGAAGGAATATAGTTATAACATGGTTAAAAGATCATTTAAATTTATTTTACATACAATGTCCCCTTTAAGCATTATATAATATTTTTATTTAGTCAAACGCCACACCTGACAGAGACTGCAGACATCGAGTAATGGGTTTTAAATGCCTCGATGTCTGCCTGGAGTTGTGGGTGCCGCCGTAGGTCAGAGTCTCGGATCTCCTGCCGAGACAATCATTAACACACTGACCTTATGGTGCAAATCAGGCAGATTAACGCACTTAATCACAGAACCAAGATTAGCGCAAAAGGCTAACATTCAATACTGCAAGTTCTTATGAAAAAGAAAGATTTACATTTTGGCACAAGTCTACTGCCATGTGTCTATTATTACAGATGTGGTAGCCTGGCATCTGCTTTCTTCCTGTCTCCTGTTGGTTTGAAGAAAATATATTATTATATTATATCTATTTTTTCAATGATTATAACATTATTTATTAATAACAAAAAAAGTATATTATGAGACTTACCATGCTTATTTTTACAGTTTTCATCATTTTGTTACCAATAGTCTTCTACTTTAATGTCTGAAATAAAAATAAATCCATAAATTTTCTGTTGCTTATTGCTATTAAGAGTCATACCTCTCAGTTTTACAGTGGACAAACTTCAGGTCTATCTTTCAATTCAAACAGTCAAGCTATCCAAGCAACACAAATTAAACAATTAAAATAATCCATATATCGTCTCCAGCACAACTCTGGAAACCCAAATATCTCTTAATTGCAAACATATGATTAGCATAGGATAATGAACCTCTCCACATGTCATGATGAGTAAAATAAAAAATTATATTTAAATAAAAATATATTGCTAATATTACTTCATGTGTAGCATTAAATACAGTGCACACTGAACAACAACACAAACACAACAAAATCACGAGTCAAATTGTGTCAAATGCAGATTGTAGCTTTAACAAATAGCCTACATGGACAGGTGGATTCTTCCTGACACAGCTCTTAAAGTTTTCTTACCTTTTTTCCAATCATGAAGACATTTCTAAATAATCCGGTGGGCTGCACTAAACTGATCCCCCAAGTGGTCATAACTCAACACTGTATCTATGTCTCTAAACTTGAGCAGTTCTCCCTGTGTCTCCGCTGTCTGAAGATGTCTGCATTGTAAGGAATGCCGCATGTTGAGGGTCATGTGATCTGCTGCTATCAACTTGATCCACCTGATAAAGAGAGACAGGTTAAAAGTATTGTCCTCCCTAGGTCACAAACTACATATCAAGCATGGCCTTTGCACATTAAAATCATACTTAGCAAGTTGACTTGGTGAAACAGTTTTATGGCAGTGGTAAGCCTGAAGATGTAAGCGTGACATGTTGCTATAGTGTGCTAGTGTGTGACCCTAATCAGCTGTTAGCCTTGTTAGCGAAACGCCTGCTGCTCCACAGTCTGGGCAGACACACTTCAAGATTGCACATATGGACTCACCCAACAAGAGCTTTTCTCAATGTAATCTACTTAGTCAAATGGGTCTTTTTAGTTGAGCACAATTCTAGTATATTGTTGTTGTTTTTTTTGTTGTTGTTTTTATTTTCAAAGAAAGGGTATATAGGCTAGATTTTTTTTCAATTTCATATAACATGATGTAACTGTATTCCAGATATGAAGTAGTGTAGTTGGTTTTAGTTTTTTTTTTTCTTATTTACATAAATGTTGGACATGATAGCCAGATTGTTTTTATTATAATTTGGTGTTCTCAGTGTGTATTCCCATCCAAAGGTAGCACACAAGTTTCTCATTTGGGTTTCCGGTTCCCACAACAAAAACCAGTTGGTCTAAATCTAAAATAACTCTCTCTGTGATCTGAATCCTCACTGCACCCCAGCCCCTTCAACCAGTCATTAAGCAATGCTAGTGCAGCCTCTGCAGTTTAGTAAGTGCATTCTGGACACTATACCTACAGCAATGGAATTTAAAGTCCAGTGCAAGAAAGCAGAGATACCATAATAATGTATTAGGTATTATCATTATATTTTTCAAAATGGTTTTAAGGGTCTTGTTTGTCACAGCAATGTAGGTACAAAAAACATGACTGCTTGAGGTGATGTAATGGAACAAAATTTTTTCCTCCTGCTTTTCCTCCTTTCTTCTTCCTATATTATGGTTGTGCTTCAGACTTCATATCACGATAATTATCTGAATTTTGCAACCACTGTTAGAACAAAGAAAACCACAAGAGAGGCTGTAAATTAGGGCAACTGAAAATTAAGCCTGGCTGTAAAACTTTTTTTTTACAGCAGCCATCAAGGTATACTTTATGTCATGTACATATGGAGAAAGGGTCAGGTTTGCACCTGCCAAGAATAGGGCACCTCTTCTTGATGTCCTAAAATGCATGAGTCTGTGTGTTTGGGGCTTGTGCTCATAAAAAAAAAACACATAGGCATACAGTACACATACAGTACTGACATGTCATTGTATGTTTAGCACAGTGGCATATGCCCTGACATTGGGCACATTCAGTTTCCTTTCCAATGGCAGACTAAATCCTTGAAAAATGATGATGGCTCTTATATAAGGCCTTCACATACATGTACGGTGCCCGCATATATTTAGATTAAGTGTGTTACTGAGCAGAGCTGGTATACAGCTGAGGCAGCAGGCCTGACACATGGATCTGCTGTAGTAGAACACTATGTACTTGGTAAGTCATCAGGAGCACCATGCATGTACAAAGAAGGGGGGCAACTAATATAGGTTGGCATGGCAAAGGACCCCCCTTTTTGGCATGTGTATCCTATGTCTTTTTGCAGCTCATGAGAACACCTGCAGAAGAGGTTAGTCAAACAGACTATATGTTTTACTATCACCTCTTACTATAAACTCTATAGCCTATTTTTTATCATCTGTCAAATTTGTCTGAACGTCCCTCAGATTGTTGGCCATGTGCCATGTTCAAACATCTGAATTCGACCTTATTTTAGGCTTGGCCCTCCATGGGGTCTTCTGCATATGGATACTTCATCCTACAGAAACCTATACAGCCCTTCTCACTCATAAAAACTAACAGTATCATGTAAAGCTGAGGCCTCCACCCTGTAGCTCGTGAGCTGCATTCCAAGTACATCCCCAAAGTATTTATGAGTTATACATATTATGCTGAATAAATTAAATTTGAGGAAACACTTGTCTGTTATCATACTAAATGTATAATTTAAATGTCTAATTTTGTAAACTTATTGGTTTAGGGTTTATGTTAGACACCTAAATATACCCCATATTTGTTACCTTTATACGAGCTCAATTAGGCGCCATTTTCGCTTTGTAGCTCACCGGGGGAAAAGATTTGGATGTGATGATGTAAAAGTATTTTCCTAGTTGACCTCTTCAGCTAATGGCAGAATATTTACAAATTGACGATTAGATCTAGAATGTATGTAATTTTAACTAACTCCAAGGACATTAAGTTAAAATGATATAATTTATGAACTGTTATTTTTTTCTAATATATCGTATTTGCATAGTTAATTGGCCTACCTTTGCCTCACCTTAATAACTTACCTCCTCTGATTGGGTGGTGCTGAAAGTTGGTACTTGGCAGGGCTCTTTATGCGGCGCACGTATCCCCCCACACGTGACATGTGATCCAGGGAAAGGAGTTCCGGTTGGTCGGGGCGCCAATAAAAAGTGCGAGGGGCGCTAGACCGGTGGCGCACTCGTCCTGCAAAGTTCACCCAGAAGGTGAGTGAAAGAGACAACAACTTTAGACAAACAATAGACCAGAGGAAAGCAATAACACTTATACAATAAAACTAATAATACTATCAATTTTAATAGTGTGGAGTTACAAATTTTTTACAGGCTATTCGACTACATGTAACTTATTAGTGTCAAATTGATTATGGAGCGTGAAAAAATTTGTGTTATTGTTTTTATTATAGCTTTGAAGATATTTTCTAGTATTAATTAACAGAATGTATCCTGAGTATGAGCTGTCCTGTGCATTTCTAAAACCACTTCAGAAAAGTACACAGTGTAGTGTTTAGAAACTCATTTTATGTACAAGGCTTGTATCCTCTTCCAGTTCAACAGTGGTCTGGCCTTGTATGTGTGCTTTAGGAATGAGGGGAGAACACTCAGAATCAGAGTCTCCTACTTCTGATGCTCTTTTTATAGGTGGAAAAAAAAGTTGAATTTTTTTTTTTTTTTTTTTAGAATGTGCATAATATGTAGAGTAACAGTTGCAGGTTATATACTGTGTATGCATAGTTAGATTAGTCGCTGTCGCCTCTCTAATGTAAAAACTGTCTTTAGTGGCTAACTGGTCTGTCTGTGCTTTGCTCTGTCTTCAGGACGTTCGTGTAGACACAGATCCAGTCATGCAGAAGTCTAAGGATATGGGCTCCTCGATCATCCACACGCAGCAGCTCCATGCTGCGATGGCGGACACCATGATCGAGCACATGTGTCTCCTGGACATCGACTCTGAGCCTGCTGTGTCTCGCAACACTGGCATCATCTGCACCATTGGTTGGTAACGCTCCTCTCTGTTCCATGATGGTGATGCATAATGCATTTCTGTGTAAACACACACAACCTTTAAATGTCACTTTAACCTCAGAGCAGCCTGTGTACATTCACCTGTCTGTCCTCTGTGCAGGACCGGCCTCCCGATCCATGGAGATGGGCAAGGAGATGATCAAGGCTGGGATGAACATTGCAAGAATGAATTTCTCTCATGGCACACATGAGGTGAGCTAAAATGCTTTGTTTAAAACCAAAACAGAAAAACACATTATAATAGACTTTTAGAATAGTGTTTTTATTTGAACAATGGTGAGGTAGGACTTGGAAACAGAGACCCTTCAGAAGAGTATCGCTGTGCTCCAGAAGTCATTCAGAGGATTTAGCCTTTGCAGCAGTTGGTCTGACATTACTCATGGGTCCCTCTGTAATGTGATCTGTGAGACAGTATTCGCTCCTCCAGCTCAGGCTTCGACTCACAGCCGTTATAGAAGAGCCAACAACTTCACACCAGTGACCCCTCACTTTTAAAAGTCACACCTCTTTTCACCTGAGCAACTAAGCCACTTTTGAACATATTTTCCTATGATGAGCAGCGTAGAAGCCAGTTTCAAAGGTGGGGTTGAACTTTACATTACTTTTTTATTGATATTCTGCAGACAAATAATAGCATTTCAGCAGTTATAAAACATAAGTTTCATTTTGTATTTTCTGTCTGATTTACAAACTTTTAACCCCGGAAGGACATGTGATTTTACATGTAAAAAAAAATTGATTTGACCTCTGCTTAAATGCTGTCTCATTGCTATATATAGTTAAGTCTGAGAGTCACAGCAGAGGCACGAGTTGGTGGCATGCACCTCCGCCAGCTGTCAGTGTACATGTAAAAAAAAAGTTTACTTCTTGTCTTTTGTGTCTTAACCTGCAGATGTTACAAAGTTTTAAGACAGATAATAGCTTACTATAAATAAACTCTAAAATGTAGTGTTAATTTGACCCTTTTACATAATAGCCTGTTGCAGTCTGGCTTAGCATTTATTTATGCACACAGAAACAGAACAATGTCAGATGCTAAAAATATGTTGCATTTGTCATTGCAGACTGCAGAATAAAGTTATGTAACCAATGCCATGTTGCTTGATCTTACCATCATAGGATTAAGGATCTAGATGTCCCACCTGTTACTATACTGTAACTGTTAAAAATTTCTTAAGGCCCCCTTAAAAATAAAACAAAAGATGTTAAACTGCCAAAAGATCAGTTTAAGATGCAACTTCCTAATTAAATTTATGCAAGAATGTTATTGGCCTTTTTTTTATCTTGTTTTTATTTTTCTTGTTTTTTTTATGATATACATTGATGTTCACTCTTACATGTTCAGCACTTTGGTCAACTGCATCTCTTAAATGTGCTATACAAATCAGTTTACTTGACTTGAAAATATGTAATGATGTGATTAACTTCATATTTTAAATCTAATTTGTTTTGTTTTTTAATTCCGTAGTATCACGCCGAGACCATCAAGAACATCCGTGCAGCCACTGAGAGCTTTACACCTGGCTCTGTGGAGTACAGACCAGTGGCTATTGCTCTGGACACAAAAGGACCAGAAATCAGGACTGGACTGATCAAAGGGGTGAGCTGTACTGATAATACCGAGGCAAATGTAATAATTTACAATGTTTTAAAATTTAAACGTGTTTCATACCTTACCTGATGAGGAGAAATTGTATACAAACACAGAGGTTTAATAAAAAGATTTAATAACTACATTTTAATAGCCTTAATTAAGCATGAACAGAGACTTAATTCACAATAGACAATAATTTACCCTTACCTCTAACCTTAACTCCTTAATTTTCTAAGCCTGAATCATTCTTAGCAAACTATAAACTGTGAACTATGGTGTAGGCCTTATACACATAATCAAGGTGTAGTTATTAAAAAGTTATATTGAAAAAAACTTATATTGAAATCTGTATTTAAAATCATATATTGGATACACATTTATTACATATTTTCAATGCATGATGTTTGGGGAATTGTGAATGATGATTTTAAATTCCTTTGTGAAATCCCTAATTATTTACTTTCTCTTTAGAGTGGTACTGAGGAAGTTGAACTGAAGAAGGGTGATACTATTAAGATCACACTCGATGACCAGTACAAGGACAAGTGTGACGAGAAAGTCCTGTGGCTCGACTACAAAAACATTACTAAAGTCGTCCAGACCGGCAGCCATATCTACGTGGACGATGGTCTCATTTCCCTCAAGGCCACTCAGATCGGTAAGGACCCGTTCTTGAAAATTCATATCATTCATGTTTTGTTCAGTCATTTGTACAGTATTTTGTTACTTGCTGTAGCTGTCAGGGATGTTTACAAGCAGATACACACCACGCTATGAGATCTGTGTGGTGACCGTCAAAATGGGCAAACCTAAAATTAATGAAAAAAACAAAAAACAACAATAAGCACTTAAATTATTAGCATTTATAGTTGCACAAATCTATCTTTTTCTGTTCAATATTGATGTAACAGCACAACTGATCATAATATGTTAGGAAAATGTGTGGGCAAACATCAGCCAGTGAATATCTTGATCTTGATAAATGTATTGTTTGGCCTAACCCTTAACCTACCTGGTACCAATATTGTGTCTAGTGTATTTTTCTGGGTGTGACTAAATATCTCAGTTCAATATTTTAATTCCCTATATTTCCACACCTGTAATCCCTGCATATGTGTCTTAAATAGTAAGGAATAGGGATCAACAAGATCTCATGCCTGTGGACAGTGATCTCATGAGATTTTTTTTTTCCATTCTTTCGTTTGGTCTCTCACAAATGAGGTTAAGTGGTGGTGAGTTACATTTATTGAGAAGCCTTAGTTCCAAAAGTGCTAGAATGAAATAAAACAGGAAGCAATAGAAACAAAAATTGTGCACTTAACCTCACAATTTCTTTATTATAAATTGTGTCAAAAACTCTTTTGTTGTCATGGATACAATCACATTTCTCATCCCATGGGAATTGTGTCTGGTTCCAACATTAATAAAGAATGAGCTACATAATAATAAATCAATACATTCCCATTGATGTGCCTAATGTGGACATGCTTTGTGTTTGAAGGCGGTGACTTCATTATGTGTGAGATTGAGAATGGCGGCATGCTCGGCAGTAAGAAGGGTGTGAACCTGCCCGGGGCTGCCGTGGACCTGCCCGCTCTGTCAGAGAAGGACATTCAGGACCTGCAGTTTGGCGTGGAGCAGGGTGTTGACATGATCTTCGCCTCCTTCATCCGCAAGGCCGCCGACGTAGAGGCTGTCAGGAAGGTGCTTGGCGAGAAGGGCAAAGACATCAAGATCATCAGCAAACTGGAGAACCACGAGGGAGTGCGCAGGTGAGGGGGATTTGCTTATATGTAACAGCGTTCTATCTACTTGTTAGTGATGAGGAAATTGCACTACTGTCAACAGGAGGTGTCTATGGTATAGTAATAACATTTTCTCATCTGTCGGTATAGTTAATGTATGGAGATTTTAGGATATAAACTACTGGAGTTAGCCAACAGTGGTTCTGGAGTTGAAGGAGCTGGCTCTTTTGTTTACTTTTTAAAAATAGTTTTTAGATAGTCAAGGATCCCAAATTCAGAAAAAAAATCACTTTTGGAGTGTATTAGGCGTGTCAAATATTCAGTTTGATCTAAATGGTCAAAATGTCAGTTTTTTCATGGAGATTAGAACATAATGCTATTTGATATAGAGAAAAATACACGATTGGCCCAAAAGTATATTAAATATGTTTATTTTTAAACTCATAGCATTTTTTTTACACTTAATATCAGTAATATATTTGTTTTGGCATTTGTTTCATATGCTCCTGGCTAACAGTTCTGCTCCATAAATCCTAAAACCACAGTTTACTTTGCCCTTTATAAAGGTCTGGCTCTTGTCATTCTCTGTAGGTTCAGTATAATTAGAAACAGTTATTCTTGTGATTCTAACTAGATTCGATGAGATCCTGGAGGCCAGTGATGGCATTATGGTTGCCCGTGGAGATCTGGGTATCGAAATCCCCACAGAGAAAGTGTTCCTGGCTCAGAAGATGATGACTGGCAGATGCCTCAGAGTCGGCAAGCCCATCATCTGCGCCACCCAGGTTTACATTACACACAAGCGCTACAATAAACTATGACAATCATTAGAACAAAAATAATTAAGATATTGTTATTTGTCAGATGCTGGAAAGCATGACCAAGAAGCCCCGCCCTACTCGTGCTGAGGCCAGTGATGTGGCCAACGCTGTCCTGGATGGAAATGACTGCATCATGCTGAGTGGAGAGACAGCCAAGGGAGACTACCCTCTGGAGGCAGTGCGCACACATCACATGGTAAGTGCCCTGTGGACTTGTCCTAACTGTTTTTATGTATGTTTTATGTATTACCAAAAATGGGTTGCTGCAGGATCTTAATGAATTTATCATACAGTAGAATTAAGTTTATTAAGAGTGAGAAATATAACAAAATGTTTTATTTTTTTATTCATTTAGTAGCTTTATATTGCCTCAAGAGATAACCAAATTTATCTTCTTCACTCCACACTTCACTGTGATTGTATGAATGTTACTCAGAGCTTGGCACAGGCTCGCCAATAGGGGGAGTGGTTGGGGAAATGTAGATGGCATCTGTGTGTTTTTGAGCATAAAATTGCATTAAACAGAGAAGCATTGAATCATGATTCAGTCTCTCCCGATCTTAACAAAGACATACCATGATTGATTTAATAATGAATAATGTCTACTCATAAACAAAATGTGTATATATCACGTTATACACATTGTCAGATTGATATTGTGATTTACTAACATTGTTGCATTTAGTATTGTCACAGAAGCCCATAGCACACCTGTCCATCTGTTTCTTAACATCACCTTGTCTGGTTTTGTGCTTTAATTGTGTGATGTGTCGCTTAATTATTAGCATGCATCTTATGGAGCCACAGTGCAACAGGCTGGACATCATGGCTGTTGTTTGGCTTCTTGTATCAGTGTGATTTCAGGTATGAAGAATTTTATGCAAAGCTAACAACTCTTAATCTTATTCTACGAGTGTATTCACATGTTTTTCTGTTTTTGTATCTAGATTGCCCGTGAGGCTGAGGCTGCCATGTTCCACAGGCAGATGTTTGAGGAGCTGCGCCGCACCTCTCACCTGACCCGGGACCCCACAGAGTCTGTTGCTATTGGCGCTGTTGAGGCCTCCTTCAAATGCTGTGCCAGTGCCATCATTGTGCTCACCAAGACTGGAAGGTAAAAAGCTGTGATTTTCAGACTGTTCATATCAAGTGCTTTGTTACTAGATGAACCTAAAGCAGGTTAGGCCCTCTATTATGCAAAATGTTTAGTCTGTCTAAATCTCAAAAGCTCAGAATACTCTGTTCCACTTTATGATGTCATCTAGTGGTACTTTTCAGGTTAACAACTACCTTTTACCTTTTGTTCAGTAAAGATTGGCAATTCCAGTGTTATCCAATTGATTCTAGTGAATATGTATGGAGCACTTCCTGTATTGCCACATGACATCACAAGGTGGTACAGACTGTTTGCCTCAACTCAATCTAAATATACAGATTTTGTGGTTGAACATGTGTGAATTTAACAAAACACAACTACAGGTATGTTTTTGATGAGAAAACAACATCATAACATGGACCAAAAATAGTGTAATATGCAGCACAAAATAAAAGCAAATAGGCCTAAATCACTATATTAAACAGAAATTAACTGCAAAATAGTGCCACCACTCAGAGTTTGTAGCTCTAAAACAATAGTGTACTTTGTCCTTTAAAAAGGTCTGGTTCCTGTTGTTCTCTGTGGAGCCTGCTGTGATTGGTGAAATTGATGCATTATGTTGCATTTCTCCTCTCTCTCCACACCAGTCCTCAGCCCTCGTGTGTGCCAACTTTTACGACTCTCACCATCTGCCCTCCTCCTCCTCCTGACCTTTAGAGATCTGAACTCTGACATTCTATGAGTTAATTTTAACTCCATATTCCCCTACACTTAAGTATTCAGCCTCGTAGCACACGATGTACAACTGAAGGAGCTCTAAATATTGTCTGCATACAAATATTTACAGTAGTAACAACTGCACAAAACAAATTCTGTGCCATTGCTCTGAACTGTGTCTTCAAAATGGAGATGGTGAACTGTTAGGAAAAAAAAATCTGAATATATTTTATCGCCCCGCAACACATATTTTAATAGTCTGCTAGTCAGCTACTCACTTTTACTTTTACTATTGTAACTTTTTTATTTGACCACTTTATTGTATTGCTGACTGAATGCTTCAAAATAAGTAATATTAAAGTATATGATGAAAATCAGGAATCGCCCAGGTAAC